ATATATATACGTATACGCATTGAAGGTATTTGCCCGTTATAAAAGTTCACTGACTAAGCGAGATTTTTTTACCTACAGGGATATCACAAAGAAAATCAACGAATCATTCTCAATTTTTTCATAACAGCCCAAACAATGCAACGTTAAAGTAACTTTATAAATATTAAAAAATTAGATCGCAAATGATTTTCTTTTTCGTTAAGTCCCGCAATAAATCTGACTGAATAATAATAATCTGAAAAATAACTGATCGTAAAGACACAGTTCGAAGTAGAACAGTGAAGTCAAACACCACTGGCTGCGGTCAGTAAGCGGGTAGGTGACCAGTTTGATCAGACGGCGTAGGGACAGAGGGTACACGGTATCGTTCCTCGTTACGCTATTCTACCGTAAAAAAGCTCAATTTTACACGCAGGTTCTCGGGCTACCAAAGCAGAGGATCAAAACTGTGATGGCATGTCTTCGGATCATCCTCAGTGTTGTTTCCTAGACCGTCGCCAATAACCCATTAAGCAGATCTAGTGCGACGCAAATGAGCTACAACAACAGCAACTTTTCTATACTTTAAATTTTAAATTGCTTATGTAAGTGATGCCGTGGTTGCCCAGTGGTTGGAGAATCGGTATCCGGTCGGAAGGGGCTGGGGTTCGATTCTCGATTCCGCTAAGACTCAGCAAGTACACGTGATATATGTGAACTGTGGTATCGAAAATCCTATGTTTGGTCTCTGAGTAGTACCATGGGTACAGAGATCTGGAGAAAAAATTTTTTCGCCTTCAGATTTATGTCTAAACTGAGGAAGTGGCTTCGAGAATGAAATCCCCTCTGCAGAGGATCGAAATTGTGATGGTCTGTTTTCCTATTGATGTTTCCCAGGCCGTCGCCAATAGCTACCTACTTATGCAAGTGAGAAGGAATTTGCAATAAAAGATTTCTCACGATTTATAGTTTCTTCTTATGTAACCGTCATAATGATAAACAAAACGAAGACCTCGCCATCATCATTTGCCAAAACAAATGTGAAGACTCAATAGCCGCAAATTTTTATTACAATATTCGGCTTAATGTAGATCAGAAACCAGGGTCGTTTCTTAGTTACGTCAAACGCTCAAAAGTAGTTCACTTTGTTATGGAGTACTTTCATATTTCTACAAAAATTTACAGTTCGCAAAAAAATAAATAAATAAATAAACGAACGTACTGAGACTCAGTCTTAATGGTTCGAAGGACATGACCTCAAATATGTTAATTAATAGGTGCAGATACTATTTTAAGTTACGAAACCAGACACAAAAATGTACTTTCTCTGAATAAACATTCCTTTTTTTTCGAGGGATCCGGATTTCTGACCTGCAAAATATATAATCTGGGAAATATGGTTCCAATATTTTAATCAGGAGAGTGATCAAAATTTTTTGGACTATTTAAGTTAAATTTCGCAAGATTTGGGTGTGTATTGAAAAATTTTCACTCATAATTATAAAATTCATTATATTCATATATAATTCTAAACAAAAATTAATATTTAATAATTATTTATTATTTTTATTACTATTTTATTTATTAACAAGCTGAATACCCATTCTTTGCATGGGGTTATAAAAAGAAATATAAGTATCAGTTAGTCAGTAGGGGAGAGTGGGGTCAATTGTAACATTTTTTACTTAACTATTTTTAACTAACAAAAAAATCCAATATATTATTAGTATTAATTGACAGATAAGTAAAGTAGACTATCCTCTACTAGAAAAAATAAATAAATACCTTATTTTAAATGTTATTATATTAGTTATTAACAATTTTTGACAGTCGCGCACTTGTTACAATTGTCCCCACTTACGGGGTCAATTGTAACAGTCCATAATTCAACTAAAACATAGTTAATTATACATATTATCATAGTTGTGATACATATTTTAATTGATCAAAATAGTAGTGATATTTTAGGAGTAAAAATAATAGTGATCAGAGACCTAAAGGGTTAAACTTATAACTTTAAGGGGTTAAAAATTTTAATTTATGCTGTGAAAGGTGACAAATAAAATAATGCACATGCAACATAACATAAATGATATAGGATACTATTGGTTGGTCTTAAAGAGTTAAGTAATGGTTTGCAAACATAAGAGTATTTATTTTCAGCTGTTACAATCATCCCTTTACTTATTGTTACTATTGTCCCCAAGACGCAAATTCAGCTTCATTTGTTAAAAACAATGCTAGTTAATTAGCAAAACTAATCTTTTTTTTTTGAAATGTTAATAAAGATGTCCACTTACATATTCGGTTAATAATTTTTATTTGTTTAAACAAAATTACTTTGTTACAATGTAATATTCTAATACCGAAAAAAGTACTTACGTAGCATGAAAATATCTTTTGTGGTGTAAATCTTTCAAAAGTACATAAAAATGGTTGCCAGCAGGGGTGTACATGTAGATTTATTAAATACACCTTGTGCGCCACCTAGGAACCAAATCTAGAACCCGACAATCGAAATATTTGCTCTGTTACAATCGTACCCTGTTACAATTGACCCCACTCTCCCCTACTGAGAAACACAACGCAATCATGCTCAAAACTGGAAGCAGGCATATACCGACACAATTAAAGAGCTTGATGGAAGAACCAGGTGAGCGACATTTTTAAGGGAATTAATGAATTAGATAAAATAACATAAAGTGGTTGCGTCAATGTGGGTATGTTTAATGTGACAGAACTGTTTTTGCTTTCACTTTTATCTTAACGTAACTAATCCATATTAAATTTTAGTATGCTTGCATGATTTTTATTTCAAATCAGACAGTGGTAAATCAAATAAAGCAAAGAATCATTAGTCCCACCTTCTAAAAAATTGGTAATAAAATAATTCGGATACAACTTCTTTCGTTCTGAAAATGTCACTACCTAGCTCTTCCACTAAGTTTTTCATTTAATACAGCTGAAATAATTTTATTTATTTTTATTTAATATTATATGTTGTAATCTTCGGTGGCTTTGCGTTATTGAAGTAAGAAAAGCTCGTTGTTTATAATTTATACCATTGGAATAAAGATAAAATGCATTTGGCATGATGCTATTGCTCGCGGCTAATTCATGGTAGCTAAAATTTACCACTTTTAAGTGATTTTTCTCAGGTACATATCCCTTTTGAGGAGCCGTACAACATTTAATTCCAAAGTATAGCTCTTAAAGCTACTTAGTAATGGTGCAGTTTTAATAATCTCCAAACATATAAGTGTAACATTTATACCTATATCAGTATATTTGGTATTTATTAATAACCCTTCAACATTTGAGTTTATACGTATTCGTCAGTGTCAGCCAGCTAAAGTCAAATTTAAAAAAAAAAATAAAATTAAAAAAAAAAAACATTAGAACTGTATAAGGATTTTGGAGCTTGACCGTTTCTCTATCTGACCTTTAATTTGCCGTTAAAATATTTATAAGTTGTGATGAAAAAAGTTATTTTAATTCTAATTCATTAAAATATTAATACACTATTTTAGCTACCACTGGAGAAAAAAAAATATATTCTGAAACTGCTGAAAACCCGTTGTGGAATTCTTATCTAGACCAATTCGCCAATAACCATAATAGCAGTAGTACATATTACCGTCAGTGATACATATGAATGAAGCGTTAGCTGTGAATGGCGATTTTTTAAGGTTTACTTAAATGAATTCTCTATTAATCTTTCTTCCATGAGCTTAGCTTTCTAACACATGTCTTATTTTATTTTATTTCAATTAATACCCATTATCCGTATTAATTGAGCATTAGTGTCAGATTTTTCACGGTTACCCAAAATGCGAATAAGTATCTCTTTCCTAATTTTTGCTTTTTAGTTCAGAAGTTACTTTTTATTGTTTCAATTAGTACATATTGCCTACATTAATTAGGCATCATTGCAGTCAATGATAGTATGACGATTTACGGTTCTTCTAGACAAATAAATACCTTTTCTCCATTACTTTTGTTTTCTAATACATAGCTTAGTTCCTTTATTTCAATATGCATGTATTACCTTAATTAACTGAGCATCATTGGCGTAAATAAGCCTTACTGGCGTCGATTCTTATGCTTCTCCTAAACGAATTAGTACCACTTTCCCCTTAATTTTGCTTTTTAATGCATAATTTTTTTTCTATTCCATTACCGTTGACTTTAAATAAGTAATGTTTTAGAAATACGTTTAAAGGAATTAATATAAATAAAATAAAAGCGCGAGGTATCAGACAAATTATAAATTTGGTGATGCAGAAAACGCATGCTACCAAGTAATAATCATTGAATTTATCTTACATTCGCAATCGTAACGCTTGAATACGCCTTCTAGCTGTGACTTTCTATTCAGGTTTTTATTTACTAAGTTTTCATTTAGTTCCATTAGAAGCAATGGTAGAGAAGAACGCTTTTTTTTAGCACCAAATAAGAAGCAAAATTTCCTTAAGGAAAACGCAGAAGAACTTAAAAGACGGTCCAGAACATTGGTAAAACATTTGGAAACAGAATGCTTCCAACATTTGAAGAACAATTTCTCAGTAATTTTTCCCTTTCCATAATCAACAAACTTGCAACCGATACCTTCCGATTTCGTGATCGCATACTGTTAAAGATGTGTGTATTAAGGTAAATACATTTGATTTGTCTTCAATTCATTATAAATTAAAGGGAAGTTATTTCATTCTTCATTGCTTACTTCATTCCAATGAATAAATGTGATCTCAGAGAGTGCAGAATTGTAATTGTTATCGAATATTCTTCTTCTTTATAGAATAGTATATATTTCTGTATTTATTCTGCACCTAATGGTATAACATTATGTGTTTATGTATACTTCGTACATGTTTTAATGTTTGAAGTAATATGACTCAGAAAAGTATGGAATGTATGTAAAGTTTAAATAGACCTTTCATATTAAATCATTAAATTCAATTGAATGATTTCGCAGGCATTAGGTTTTAACTCTGATACGAAGATACATATTTTTTTCTGTTTATTTACAAATATTTTTCCGATGTGTTTTGGGTGTTCCTTCTCTAAAAAAAGACATTCATTTTTATATGTATAAAATAGTCGAAAAAAATTTAATACCTTAAGGTATACAATTTTTATATCATTTTGAAGAATGTAATTTTATAAGGCAAAATAAAAATAATCAAATGAAATCAATTGAATAGTTCTAAGAAATCGAATTTTTTTAAAAAAAATTTATGTTTAAAATAAATCGTCTGCTCTAATTAATTGGCGTATTCGAGGTCATCTCCGTAAATCAAAATTATTATTATTATTTAAATTTTTTTCTTGGCTTAGTACGTGAAAATCTGATCATCATATCAAAAATTATTTCGGGCGTTTATTTTTTTGCTCACTATACTGTTAAAAGGTTTTTGTGTCAATCTGTAAGCATTTTAACATTTCTCCTCCTCCCCTTACGTCAGCCTATTGCTAATCTATTCTTTTTATTTCAGAGTGCGTCCGGAACGGGTCTCGCATTTATTGCTTTCACGGAAGCTATCAACCAATTCCCAGGAGCGCCCTTCTGGTCTGTCCTCTTCTTCCTGATGCTCTTCACCCTCGGAATAGACTCTCAGTTCGGCACCTTAGAAGGAGTCATAACCTCTATAGTCGACATGAAACTCTTTCCCAACGTTCGAAAAGAAATACTCACTGGTATTGGAACAATCATCACCTTTATAAAAGTTCCAATCTTAATGCTTCAAAGTTGTAACTTTGAAGTCACATATATTCTTCCTTCACAGCTGTATGAAATGGGATTTTCTGACTTAAGCCAAAGAAGGCTTGCTTTCATAGGCATAACGTTAACTTGTCCCCGTGTATAAACGGAAAACAACATTCAGGGGGCACAGCAGAGAGAATATTCTTGAAACAGGTTTGAACCTTAGAGGAGATATTAGTAAATCTCTTCTCTAAGGTTTGAACCCACCTCTATACCCTCAGCTACTGGGATTGAGAAGAAAGAAATTTCTTTTATGGTTGGTCTATTGGTGATCGATCGAAATCGGCTAGAAGTGGCACAAAGTACAACTCTTTACCTATGGCAACATTTCGCACGATTTCATCATTAGCGTGTGAATCCGCCATCTGGGGAGAACACCGGTTCCAATGTCTTGACCCTTCTCTCTCCCCCTCTTCTCAGTTGTATAGGAATGTACTCTGTTATTTTCCCCTTTCTTAATATTTATCGTATTTAATTGTCAGAAACACTTTTTTAAAACTTCCACGACGTTTTCTTTTTGAACTATAGTTTTCAGTTCCATATAGTTTCCTAGCTTAAAGTTTTTTAATCTATTTGAAAATCAAGAGTTCCATCTCCTACGACTCTCCACACGCTAATGCGAAGTGTTCCATAGGTAGAGAATTCTACCAACACCTCCTAGCAGTAGAAAGGCCTCAGCACGGATCAATTTAGTAGTCCGATGTGACGAAGTTAACTGTGCAGTAGACGAAAAATGTCATTACGTTAGGGGTACTAAGCTGCGCAGTGGTTGAAAATACAAAATATGTCATTACGTTTGGACTACTAAGGGATATTTATGGTAACCCGTGCTGAGGCCTGTTCTTTCTAGGAGGTTTTGGTTCTACTCTACGCCACCTGTAGCCCATTTCGATCGCCAATAGTCAATCGCCAATAGTAGAGGAAGTACATTAGTTTCGTCTTGTATTTCAAACACATTAAAAACACATTAAAAACACATTTCAAACACATTAAAACTGTCACTTTGCTTCTTATGATGATGCCAAGATCACACTGACGTCATCTTAATATGATATTCTCTTATTAGCACGTCGGAGGGAGTTAGTTGGTCTGGTGAAACGTTTCTTTCTCCATCTGCCGATTCCGAATGGATTAAACGTGCTAACTATTCAAGTTTCAGACACACAAAAACTTTTTTTTTTAATATTTTTTTTCTCGACAGATTTGAACTTTCAACTATGAAAACATTGTGGGTAGCCGCAATCTGGGAAATGTAATCCCAATGGTTCAGTCAAAAAAGCGGTTTAAAGTTTGAGTCCCTTAATGTTAGTTTCACTTTTTGCGCATTTGCCATATCTCTGGAATTGATGAAGTTAATTGAGTCAAAAGATAATTTTCATATAAAAATAATTTTAATAATTATGTATTGTTTATTCATTTTATAAAATTAAAAAAAAAACTATATTTGTGAGACATTCATATCATTTTGAACTATGCAATTTTAATTAACGACGTTCAAAATTTGAACAAAATCGGACTGAAAGTTTCTGGAATTATAATATTTCAAAAAAACTGTAATATTAAACCTTTAATTCTCCAATACTAATTGACCGATTTCGCACAAATTTTGTGTGTCGTCATTTAAAATTACAAAGCTTGAATGAACTTAAAATTTACCTACACCTTACAATTCAAAAAAATTTTGATTCCTATTAAATAAAATAATAAATATAAAATCTTCTCGCAGTGTAGCAAAGTACGCATAAAGTGTCGTTTGGATTAAAAGCCTCCTAACTAAACTATTGGGACCATATTTTGTTTGCAACGAAACTCAAATCCTTCTAAAATAGGTACGCTTATTCAAAGTAAGTCTGATTCCCTAACTATATAGTTAGCAAAAACTAATTGACATATTTAAGGTCAGCATAACGATTTGCACTTAGTTCGTGAAAGATCATCATAAAAAAAGTTATTTAACGTGATATCTTTTTTTATTTGCATACAGCACGTATACAGCCACCAAAACTTTTTAACTTAATTTTTTTCTAAAACCTCATTAACCTCTGAATTATTGCAAATAGTGATATTAACTTAGAGATTAAGTGACCTTTTCTTAGAATTTGTTTGTTGCTTGTTAATGAGTAATTATTATTGCAGGCGTAACTTGTCTTCTGTGTTTCTTCCTGTCTTTGATATTTGCTCAGGGTGGTGGTAATTATGTCTTTACCTTATTCGACAACTTCAGTGGAAACTTTCCTCTCCTCATAGTCGCCCTCTTTGAATGCATTGCCATATCCTACGTCTACGGACTCAGAAGGTAATTTCAAATCCTATTGGTTGACCGTGTAGAGCTAAGCGCAAATGGGGCTAGGGGATAAAATTCGTCGCAAGACTTCCGGTTTACTACTTCCGACTCATTTTTATGCCTAAGCTTCAAAACACACAGCATCCAATATTATTATAGTTGTAGTGTTTACAATATAACGCGTTCCTTCAATCTAATTTTCAACGACACTAACAACAAAGGAATTCGAAAGACTCCGCAAGCCTGCTATGATGCTACCGAAAAAATAGCAAACAGCGTTATTTTACACAAATATAGCCAAATAAGCGATAACCCTCAAAACATGGCTAACCTTTACACTATCTTTATCCAGTGGTATTAATTTCGTAAAAATTTGTTTTTTGCTCTTGGCCTGTTAGAATTTATAAATTACAGAAAACTCTCGTAAATGGTAAAATTACGCGTAAATTTAGACACAAATCACAATAATAAAAGTTCTTAGAATGTTAAGCCTATTAACGCATCGCCTCGTGAGCATAACAGTGGAAGTTTTCTAAATTTCTTCCGGTTTTAGGAAATTTGTTATTGTTTACATTCAGTCAACCATCCATTATAGTTTGTCTAAAGTAAGAACTCCCCCAGCTATTCGCCTGGACCCGTGGCGATAATTATGGTAACGAGATATAACTATTTAAAGTAGGGGTCACTGTTAGAGACAAGTTTTGGCTCGGATCAGCTAGAGAAAGGTAATCTTTTTCTCTGGTCTATTGTGTTAGAGTGAAGAAAGGCTACCGTCCCAGAAATGCGCTATTCTTGTTTCCATAGCAGCAGTCGGTCTCAGATTTTGTGGCAGATGGAGTTTTTACCGTAGACAAACTATACACCCTGCACCATAGAACTCATAGAACTTCTCATAACTAACATTTTCAGCACACGTATGTGTTGTGGGTTATAGCAGTGTTTCTTACCCCGAACAGATAAAGATTTAGCACACTCACATACTATTCCACATGCTCCAGTACTTTGGTTCTGCTCAAACTGTGTAGAAAACCTAAATTGTTTTGTGTTTCCTCGCAGATCTTACGTACATGAGCATGTTACCTAAAAGACCTCTCTAATATCCAGGTGATCCTTATAGGTTCAGCGATGACATCGAGTTGATGACCGGACGGCGTCCTAGCTATTACTGGTTGTTCTGTTGGAGGTACGTAGCTCCGGCTACTATGATCACCATCCTCTGTTGTTCATTTGTAAAGATAGCCTCTGAAGGAAGTGGATACGAAGCATGGGATAAGGAAACCGTAAGTCACATTCTATTGAAATACAAGATCCACAACTCATTATACGAAAAATCGAAAAGAAACTCACAAAATAAGTTAGTAAAGTTTGAGAATATTTTAAACTTTTGCAAGTATTTGTATTACCGTTATGGAGGGGACGAGAGAGAATTCGTGGGGTTGCAAACAGGATTCGAACCTAGGACTTCCATGGTCATAGCAAGAAATGCAATAACTATAGTGTAAAATATTGTACACTCCCGACCAATGAACGATAAGTCAGAACAGTGCCGCACTAAGCGTACGCTGGGCCCTAGGCCATTCAAATTTTTGAGGCTCTAACATTAAATTTTTTTTCCCGTATATTTTTTATTTATTCAAATATAAAAGTATTTATCTATCTTTTCATTTATGAAAGCATATTTAAAATAATAATAAATAATAATAAATTGAATTTTACTTTATTTTGTTAAATTAGAACTAAAAAATAATCATAACATTCTATAATCATAACATATATACTTGAAATTGATTTTTTTTCTAAATCATTGTTTTTATTAATTTTTTGAAATTTATTCTCAAAAAATCCATTTTAAGGGGCCCCTAATCATGGGGACCCCAGGTCATGGCCTAATGGTTAATCCGACACTGAGTCTGAATCGTTATCAGTCATGAGCATTTCACCAGACTAAAAGGCCTCGTGGTAATGAGTGAACTCGCCTTACCAATGCAGTTCGAACCTCAAGCGATTTGTAGACTCAAGCGATTTGCTGGTCGAATCAAAGTCGTGAACGGAACGTCGTGGGGAACGATGTAAAGTCGTGAAGTGCTGTCGAAAAGAGAGATAGTTGCGTTGCGTGTTCGAGTGTCCAACGACAATTACACTGGTGAAATAAATTAAGAGAATTTGCGCATAATTTATCGAATTTCATGAAAAGAATTGAACTGAATGTAAAACCGCTGCTTTTAGACAAAAATGCAAATCTTGTACGTCATACGTGTGCGTAAGCGTACACGTGAGTAGGCGGAGCCAGTAGAGAAACAGGCCTTATAAGTGGTGCGAGTAAGTTAAGACTCACTTCTTTCGCTACCACACCTTCGGCGCGAATTTCATGGTGTTATTTTGCAGCATTTGATTAAATTCAAATTGTAACAGTTAAAATGAGTAACCACCAACTTTTAGTTGGTGGAATGAGGCGTTGAATTGTGGGGAGGCTAGAAGCAGACCAATCTCAGATCTAGATTTGTAGAGAGTTCAATTTAACACCCAGCGTCGTATGTAACTTATGGAAACAGTTCCAGGATACCGGATCCATCAAAAGAAAACCTGCCCAAGGTCGTCCGAGAGCCACGATGGCCAGAGAAGATCACCATTTGTCCACTATAGCGAGGCGTAACAGAAAAGCTATTCAGCTCTCTCTTGACTTGTATGCAGCCACAGAAACTCGGGTATCAAGGGTGACTGTGTCCAAACGACTTCATGAGAGAGCGTTGTTTGCAAGAAGACCTGCTGTGTGCGTCCCGCTCTCTTCCGTGAACAGGAGAGTCCGTTCAGCATGGTGCACAGAACATAGAGATTGGAGTATCGATCCAAGGGTGACCGTTCTCTTCACTGATGAGTTCCAGTTCAGCCTAAACACCGATTCTCGCCGTACGTTCATATGGAGAGACCCAGGGACCCGCCACCTACAATCCAATATCCGCAAAATCGACGACTACGGCGGATCAGGTTTAATGGTCTGGGCAGGCATCATGTTAGATAGTCGCATAACTTTCCATGTTTTTGAAAAAGGATCTGTGACTGGTGTGAGGTATAGGGATGCGGTCTTGGAGCCCTATATTCGCTTTTCTCAGGGGTACAGTTGACCCTGAGTTTATTTTGATGGACGATAACGCGAGACCACATAAGTTAGCGAAGTTATATGGGGTCTTAACCTTTTTGACCCATAACAGACTACCACAAAAATATTATTATTTTTTTTATTATTATTGCGAGTTGCAATTTTTTCAAAACGATACAAAGGGAAAAGGGAATGTACACTAGTAGAGGATGCGTGCGTCTCAACGAGTGCTTGTGTCGTGCCCCGGCATTCCTTGGGAACAACTGTGCTCAGTTGCAGCTATGTAGATAAACTCTACGGTCAGCTCTGTGTCTTTAAAATGTTCAAATTTAACAAAAAGTCCGGTACGCACGAGATGCTGCCGGTGATGCGTTTTAAGTCGGCATAAAATCTGTCTGCTGCATGCATTCACTAACAGATTCGTGAAGCTACAATTTGTGAAGTAGCAAAATTCCCTAAAATGCTGACTGGGAGTTTTGTTATTCTATGACAATGAGTCTCTCTGCATCTCAGTTCCGAACTTTATTGGACTCTTTTGGTTGGGAAGTTTCGGACCTCCCCTCCTTACAGCCCAGATCTTGCGCTGAGTGATTTTCCGATATTTCAAGCATCATTTTGGCGGCAATCATTACAACGATGAGAAATACGTGAAAATTGCCGCGACCTCTTGCTTAACAGAGCAGGTGGCAAATTTGTATGAAGAGGGTATTCTAAATGTAGTTGTAAGGTATGATATGTATTTAAACAAACTTGGCAACTATGCTGAAAAAAGAGAAACGTATGTAGAATCTGAGAATAAATTTGCTTCTAAAAAATTTTCTCTTGTTTGGTTTTTATTTTCAAACGGTTCTTACTTAAAAAACAACTCTCGTAACCTTTATTCGATGAATGAGATATTCGAGTAGGAAGTTTTTTGAAGATTGGACGGGGTTTACGTCACAGTTTTTAGGGGTGGAGGAAAGTGGTTATTTTCTAAATCGTATTTGCAGGCTTAAATGGGGGGGAAGGCATTTAATTTTTACTTTTGGTGAAAATGATCTTCCAAATCTTATTTGCAGGCAACAACAGTGGGGAAAGAATGGCCTGGCTGGTGTCACTTCGTGATTGCATTGTTGATACTAATGGCTGCTATATGGATTCCGTTGGTAGCATTGCTCCGTGCTTGCGGCATTCGTCTGCTGCCAGACGAGGAACCTTCCTGGTTCCCTGCAGACGAACTCAGGGACTTCCACAACATCATTCCCCACAAGGTGACCAACCTCGAGAAGTGCCTCTTCTGCATACGTGAAGACCATGATCCAGAAGACATGTGATCAACACTAACAAAAAAAAGAATGGTCGTTTGCCAAAAGATTTTACTAATTATTATTTGTTTACTCACTCACTTTGCCTAGAAATAAACTTTAGAGATTTAGAATTTAATCAGCGAATCTTGATATCAGAAAGTAAAATAGTCTTTAAGCATTTAAATACTCTCACTCACTATCTGGAGAGAATACTATGGACGATCCATCCTAATATACACAATAATTATCTGAATAAGGACAATTTCTAAGTGATGTTGGAAAAGAAATCGCATTTCATATTATAAGATATATGTATATATTTATAGGACTCAATTTGCATGTGTAAAAAAAGGAACCATAACATATCGGAGTATAACATATGGTAATTTTCCAATAAAAAAAAAGAGGTGCAGGTTTTGTAACTAGAAATGCTGTTTTAAATTTAGATATACGAATAGGGCGAAAATTAGTAAGAAATAGCATTTAGTTACATCATTTTAATAATTTCATTATTAAATTTTCGTTTAAATTCGACAGGGTTTTAACTAATCGTATTAACACATTCAAGCCAATTTTAAAATTAGTATTAAATACAGAGAATATATTTGAATATGATGGTAAATAAAAAATAAAATAAGGACAATAACTTAAATGACGACTTTATAATCGTTACTAGTTAATCAAATAATAAATTTTGAGAATAAACTTATTGTTGAACTTATTGTTTATTTTCATACTATTCAAAATTTAAGAAAACAGTTCCTAATAAGCAATATTACAAAAATAAATTTAATTATAACTTTCATATTAGTTACAACTATTTCACAAGCAATTTTTGCTCAAGAAGTGAAAAAAAATATATGGTGTAAAAATTGCATCAAATTTGAGCATTTTATTTGGTGTCCTTTACATGGTATTCTGCTTCCTTTTTTTGTTGAATTTGCAATCTCTTGTTCTTTTGCGTTCTTTCGTCCTATCCCTTTGTAATATACGGTCGCATTGAAGCCGAATCTCTTGATTTTCGCTGAAGATTTTATTTTTAAAGTGATAACAAAACGAAAACTTTAATATCCTTAATAACATTATTATTAAATTTTCGTTAAAATTGAACAAGTTTTTAATTAATCGTATTAACACATTCACGAATTCAAAAAGTGCTTAAGAACAGCAGCTTTGCAGTCGGTCTTATTTACAACGGGAATATTTCATTAAAACCAAATTAGCATAAATTATTAAAAACAGAAACTATGTTGTACAAAAATGAACCGAAAAATGTTTAAAAACGCTTTTAACCTTCATTGTCATTTATGTACAAAAATGAGGGAGCGAGAGAGTCTTTGATTGCTGTTTGACTTTCAATAAACATGGCCTGATAAACGCTATGTTTTGGATATAACCTAGCAACTCTAGGACAGTCACAAATTTCTCAGCTACACTCCATGTCTTCGGTGGTCTTTATTAGCACTTACAGATTCTGCATAAAGAACATTCGAGCTTAACTCAAGGTAAACGACAACAGCTAGAGATAAATAACTTATTCATTGGTTATATAGTTTTGTTAATTATTGCTAAGACCACATATAATTTCTTATGAACTGTTTTCAAGAATTTTATGAAAATTTTCTCGCTAAAAATCCAAGCTATATTGGTGAAAACAAACGTTCATCTAGGCTTTTTAACATTAAACCGACCCTATATTATAATTTTCCCGTTTAGTCTGTTTTTTTTTTCTTGCTTTCTTTTTGTTTAAATAAGGGTTTGCAATAAATGAGATCAACTTTATAAGTGATTTTGAATTATTTTGTATTTATGCAGCAGTATATGCCTAAAATTAAAGATACTTACCCGAATTTTCAAATTTTTCAAATGAAAAAAAAAAAACTATTTTATTCTGAACAGCACTAATTGTGATATACCGTTTTGAAATCAACATAGTTATTAAGCTGACTAATAAAGACAACTTTAGTTGTAATTGTTCTATAGAAGTCAGAAGGCTTTTTTGTAGTCTCATATCAAGATTCCATATTGTTGTTGTTCTTTCATTATTATTGCACCTTTGGACCTTCTTTTTAAAATCAATCACAGATCACAACACTTCTGATATTTTTGTGGCCTTAAAAATGTCGTTTTTCGATCTTTTAGAGAGAGAGAGAGACAGCACAACGAACATTCCTCTGTAATGGTGTCATTATTGCTCTCAGATGCAGGGTGTTTCAAAAGACCAATTGATACAGGGGTCTCCAAACTACAGCCTTCATCAGCAGACATGCCAGGTCTTGATTATACAAGGTGTCTATACTATAATTAAGTCTCAACTTCAATGGTGTGCCCGTATTATAACAAATGCATCAAAATGAAGGTAAACTAGCCTCGTTCTTCTCACAAATGCTCCACGTGTGTCCTATTAGTTACATGGCACACCTGCAACTCAAAGTTTCATTTTTCCTCCACCTGTTAACCAAAGTTTGAATATTCTGAACTTGTTAATCAAGGCAATGGAAGAATTAGATTTTGAGTTGAATGTGTGCCATATAAGTAACAGTTCACCTATTGATCATTCGTAAAAGAAATTAGGTTCGTTCAACTTCATTTTGATGTATTATTTGTTATAAATATTCTGAATTAAATTATTCGAAACTAGGACATTCCTTTATTCACAGCCTGTCTCTTAAATTTAACAAAATAATAATCAGAAATAACAAAATGGCTAACATACATAATGTATTTTTATGGCAATAAAAGAAAGGATTTAACAATAATGGGTGTACTGTCACATCAAAAGATGCTTCACATTTCTTAACTTCAGCAAGTTGGTAAGACGAGTTATTCAACGAGTCAAAATGTCCTACCAGGCTGAAGCCTAGGATATCAAAAGGGATTGGAAAATGCTTATAACGGTCTCAAAACTATGAAAAATGAGCAGCTCTTCAACCAGAGGGCAGATATGATCTAGCTTCCGCCCTGAATAACGCATTTGCTGGTGAAGTCAAAGAATCACAGGAAAAACAAACCCGGGAAAAAAAGCAGTGACAAAAAGAGCACCAGAAAAAGCTCCTTAAATATTATATATCTGTTATGTCCAATTTGATTCGGAACCCGAATTTAAAGTAATTAAATAATTATTCCATTATAAATAGATTTTTTTAAAATATTAATGATTCAAAGTTTAATTTGAAATTGGCGGAAAGGAACTTTTAATACTTCTTTTTTATTTGTAAATACAATTATATAATGTATAATAGAATACTATCAATAGTTTATAAATTAACAGTACTCTCTCAAGGGGTTAATCTTTTGATGAATTAAAAATGTTGATAAAAATGATTCAAGTAAGTGACGAAGTATGTCAATTTAAAAAAATAACTAATTGAAAAAAGATATTCGCATGATATTATATTACAATGCCATAAGTGTAATTAGAAAAAATTAGAACAATTTTAAAATTGTTGAAGAGTTCCAATCAATTTGTTAAATAGAATGTAGTGGTTAACGATCCTTTGAGCAAATTTTAAACTAATCCTTACATATTAATTTTTTAAGAAATATCTAACTCCGTTCGAATAGTTATTTAAGTACAGTAAATTCAGGTTAAACTGTCCATTTCGAATCGATCGTTGCATTTTATGATAATTAATGATGAGGTCAGTGGAGGATCCAGCGGGAGGGTCATAGGGGTCAGGCCCCCCCCCCAAAAAAAAAAAAATTTAAAAATAAAATAAGAATAATAATTTTTTTAATAGTTTTCAAAATAAATAAAATATTTTAAAAATTATTTTAGGGGGCATATACACCTAGGTAGGTCGGAAAAATCGATTTTTTTTCCTTCATCTAATTATGTTCTTTACTGTTTCAAGAAACATAATCCAAAAGATTAAAACGAAATTCGTCATAGTTTCATTGTAAACATTAATAATGTTGAAGCGCGATTCTTCGACGTCTCAAAACTTGGCTCAGAGCAACTCAAAATCAAGAAAGATTAAATGGACTCGCATTATTAAACATTCATCGAGAAATTGATTTGAATGCTGAAAAAATCATTGACAGATTTGCCAAAGTTTCTAAAAAACGCATTACACTTATTATTTAAAGATTTTGAATACTTGAACTATTTATGTATTATAATTATTATGTTCTATTGCCCATTAAGAAAAAAATAAATGAGCAGACTAACATTAAAAACACCAGTTTTTTTTTCAAAAAAAATATTTAAAAAAAAAAGTATAAAAAAAATTAATTGCGGGGGTAAAATTAAATGTGCTTTATAAAAAAAATTAATAGGGTCTGACTCCATGACCCTCCCCCCAGGAAAAATTTCTGGATTCGCCCCTGGATGAGGTGCTTTTTTTTCTGCCTACCAGGTTGAGACTTCGTGGAGGAGGCTAAGGCTAAAATATTTTGTAGATCCCTGATTTAAAATATCAGTCGAGGTTTTTCCATCATTGCAATTTCTTAAATAAGTACTAATAATTATAATGTAAAGTGGCTTCCAGACATATTTCAATTCATCCATTTTAAAGAGTTTTATGAAACATCCTGCCATAATTGTTTTCAAGTTATAAATGTTGTGTGTACATATTCAATATCAAACATACAGTTTTTTCTTTTTTTACATATAATTGTTAAAAATGGGTCTTTAAAATATTAAGAAGGAATGATGTATATCCATCATTGTGTTGTTTTCTTACTCAGCACGTATAATGTTTAAGATGTTGTTATACTAAATAAACAAATTAATTATCTAAGGTTTGAAAAAAGAGTCAATCTAAGATCAGGTGGTATAATTTGGTCATACTTTTTAGATTTTTGATTATGAAAATGTTTTTTTAAGGAAAATTATCACAATTTTATATAACATGCTTTTTATAAATCATTAAAAGATAAATAATTATTTCATAACACATTCTGTATAGCATACTTTAATAAAACAAACATAATAAAAATAATTAAAACAAAAATTTTTGGCAGACTAATTTTTTTATTAATCATAGATATTCAACAAAACTTCGTTTTGGAAATTTTTTTTGACTTTCGATTAATTAATTTTAAAAAATAAATAAAGCCAAACATAGCAACTGTTGACAGAAAATGTATTTCTTATAATTCAACATTTATACTCTCAATATCAGTTCCTAAATCTGTTTCATTAAATTTGAACCTCTCGAACTTATATTTAAATCTGAAATTAGTACTATTTTCAGCTAAATTTAAGCAACTACTCTACACAACTAAACAGTTTTACAAAAATTAATGACATTTTTAATTAATGCTCCAGATTAAGATCGAAGAAAAAGAACAAATTTTTAACCAGAAATTTTATCATTTTTTAAAAATTTATCCAGAAATCATAGTTTTTTTTCATTTGAAACTAAATGACTGGACTAATTGAATAGACTTAATTCAATATCTAAATTGCTTACGGAATATACTTTTTAATGAAATTATTTGAAGTAAAATAGCATAAATAATCAAAGGAAGTTGCGTAGGTTTTAACATCAGAAAAAATAACTAAATGGAATTTTAAGTTTGTAATACAATTCTACTTAATAATAGTTGCATAAAAAGCGCAGTTCAGTTCAAATGTATTGCGTCATTAATATATGTACAATATTTATTAGATAACATTCATCTTCACAATCAGACATGGCAATTCCGTCATCTATGAATTTCAAACTTTAAAAGCATATAAATCAGTTAAAATATTAAAACAGTTCTAATAATTTTTGTGAAAATAAGTCTTGGCGTCATTTACACTCACTCCAATTTGTGGAAAATTAATAAAAATTTAATTAATAAAAATAAAAACCGGCTGCTACGAGTGCAACAAATGTGTTAGTCTGTAATAGCTAGTTTCTAATTTTTAAAACTTTTTCAAGCTCATGACACTGAGACTTATTTTCAAAGAAATTATTAGAATTGCTTGAATTTTAACTGAGTTACATGCTTTTAAAGTCAGCAAATACGACATTCGTAAATAGTGTAACTCTCCTAAAGTAAATAAAAAATACTTGCATGAATTAAGCTTAATGCTATGACGTGATTTAACCTTAAATTACTACACCAAAAGTATTTAGAACAAATAAATGTCGGCTGTTTGTGAGACGTGCTAAAATATAATAATAACTTAACGAAGTAAGCATGCACAGTGTAGAAAAGATTATCTACAAAATAGGGGACTTTATTAAGGGTTTCAATATGAAACTGCCATACGAAATAAAAATAAAAACTGTTTTCTATTATTAAAATATTATTGTATTATTTTTGTAAAATTAAACTTACTTCATAGCCATTAAAAGTTAACTAAAAAATCGTAAAAAAAAAAGTCATATCTTTAACTTTGAATTATGATCAGTTTACACCACCTGAACCTTTAAAATACTGTTTGTTATGTTATTTGAAATGGCATAAGATATATTTTTTGTACATAATGTAAATTAGAAATTATGAATGGTTGGTGTTGAAAATAAATGTTAACATTTCTTAAATACTTATTAGCCAGTTAATTTTTTTCAAACTGATGTTTGTGTGCATAATAAGAACTTGAGAAATGAAGTTTTTAGTCTTTCATTTGTTGACACAATGTGATGTAGAATAATAATAAACATGCAACACTGGATCATTTGCTATTCATTCTACCCTCTCACATATTTTATTTTTCATACGTTATTAAAATCTCTACTTTTTTTCCAACCGATTCGGATACTCTGAAAATATAGGGGGTAACTGAGATCTAGAAAATAGGGTTCAACAGCTTAAGCAGGAAAGCAATCGAAAGTTTAGCCATTTTTATGTGAATTTTACTTATTGCTATTTCGAATAAATTATGTTTATAAAATTTTTGTATCTCAAAAAGTATTCGACTGATTACCTTAAAATTTTGTATTTTTTAAAAAAAATTAATAATTTTTAAAAAATTTATAAATTGAGAGATAATTTTAAAATTATCAAGATTTAAATTGGATAAAAAGTTGCATACCATATACATTTCATTTTTACCATAATAAAAGACAATAATTAATAATTTAAGCGTAATTATCTTTAGCCAATGTCCAAAAACAAAATTACTCGCTCTATTAATGCCGGATACATATAGGATCATATTTTCTAGATTGTGGTTACCTCCCATATACAAACAAAAAAAACAAAAAAAAAAAACACAAAAACATACGTTCTTTTCAGAGAAAGTATGTTTTTGTTATTTGAAATATCGGCTTTGTAACTTTAACTCAATCGTAATGGCTTTCGGACCATTACGATCGAGCCACACGATGTCAAAATCCGATAAATAAATAAAAAGTCAAAGTGTTCCTTTTTCTTCTTATCAATTTTGCACATTAAACAATGTACAGGAATGAATAGATAATAATTGCATTCCTTAATCACTGCCCTAATATATATATATAGTTANTTAGTTTCTGCGAGATAAAAATGGGTAAACTTCCTCCGCAAGTATTTATTCTGGCTACTTGTAATAACAGGGCTACAACCCTGTTATCAGTGTTGTATTTAGCTTGAAATAATGCAGTCGTAAGCCATCAGACGTTCTAAACAGGTTTATTTAAAGGTAGGCTGGTATTGATAACAGTTCACGTCCCCACTCCTGCAAAGGAGGGGGAGTGGACAAGACTCCGGACAATTCCGGAACAGCTTATCAGGATCACATCATGATGAAAAGGACACGCAAAAACTAGTGTTCTTACGTTTTATACCAAACACAGATTTGAGGTAAAAAGGCACACTTCGTACATTCCTTGTAACCTTACGCATTAAGGAAAATCATTTACTGCTTCCTTATATGGAAGTGAAAGAGGGAACGATACTAAAAATAACTCTTCCTTTGAAATTTAAATCTATTTATATTTCAATGGTATGTTTTCAGTCTTGAATTCCCAAAATAGAATCTCTCTACGCTTATTCTTTAACAAAGACATTTTATGAAAACGAAAGAGTTTTAATTCTTTTATTAATATAAAAGTATTTAATTTTTGTATTATATATATATATAGAATCCTTGTCAAAAGTGAGGGGGGGGGAAAGTGTACACTTTAGAGCTTGCAAATAACATGCGAAGTTAGGATGAAACAAAAACGCTATTGAAATATAATGAATCACTGCTGAAAAAGGCAGGATTGAAATCAGCCACAGCATCATCTTCTGTGGTCGGTAGATCCCAAATTTTGATCATTCTATCGGGGGGGGGGAACACGCTTTAACATTCGTTTTACAAAAAATAAACTATAAAACAAGTCTTAAGCTGGCTAAGTCAATACCTCTTAGAAAATAGAATGCCTCAGCACGGAACAAGAAATTTGATTGTTTAGTAATCCCAAACCTAATGACATATTTCCTCCACTGCGCAGTTCATGTTCGTTACAGTCAGACTAGTAAATTGATACGTGCCGAGGCCTCCTCTCTTCCAGGATAAGTTCGCACAGTACCGGCTTTATACATAATAGGCACCAAAGATATGTTTTAGCGGTCATTTTGAGATCTATCGAAAATGGTCGTCGGTATAATACATAAATACTCTTGGTCTGTGTTGATAAATTGGAATAGTTTATATTGGCACCTAATAGTAAAATAGAAATCGACCAGCTATAGCTTAGATTTGAACCTAAATCGAAAGTCAGAAGTAGCTAGCTCATAAATCTTTAAAAAAAACAACTTTGTTTTGATTATTTAATATTTCAGCTATAAGATGAATGATTTTTCCTTTCTTTTTTAGGTTAACACATACTTTTTTCTTGTAACTTAGGACATAATTACAAAAAAGTAATTCGTGCTTACACAATAACAGGGTTTCCACTCAATT